AAACAAATCTCTTCTCACTCTTTTTGGAACTCTGGCAGACGGAAGAGACTAGGACCTTGATGGCAAAGGGCACTCTGACCATGATGACCCCGCACAAATGGGAGCAGCACAATGACCAAATTTGACCATTTTTAACCCCTAGTTGCGTCCCTTTGACTTAGATGAGTCAGCCAGAACTCATCACGTCCTGAAGTCACATTTAGGAAACATCCCCACTTCCTAACCCAGGAGGTGTTTTGAAAGAGATCACGCTTGTGGTTTCTCTTGGCCTTCACTTCTGTCTTTTAGCTGTGACTCTTATTAGCCTTTATTTTCCCTCTCTGCCAGCTGTCCCATTCTTTGTCCCTTGGAGAAGAACATTCACGCACACAAAAGTATTCAGTGGGCATGAGAGAAAAGAGGGGCAGGGGTATAAATAAAGTATTATTTATTTATTTATTTATTTATTTATTATTAGTGCCTTAAAACTGGATCTGAGAAGTTTGTTTTCCATGGAAGCAAGTCCCCCTGAGTTTATGAGACTGGCTTTGCAAAAGCACATGTGGGAATGTGCCCTTTAGACAGCCAAAATCTTTTCGCTAGGGTCACAAGACAGATCTCAACAACAGCCAAGAATGACACAGTGCCCCTTTCCCTATAAAGAGTGATATCAAGGCAATGAGACATGCCAGGTGAGCATCTGGCAAGATCCATCTCCCCAAGCCATAATCTACTTGGCTTGGCAGAATCAGAGCCATGTTGTTGTTGTTGTTGTTATTATGAAAAACCAGAGTTTTTGTTGAGTGCTTCTAATTTGCAGAGTACTTAGTTATCTCTGTACTGCTCATCCTCACAGTTCTCTAAAACACAACACTGTTACTCTCATTTATGGTGGTGATAGGAAAAAACAAACAGGGAGCTATGTCCTGAGTGAGGAAGCTTATAAAGTCCAGGGCTGGATCTGAATACATGTCTCCCAAACGCAACCTGGCGTAGTGGTTTAAATATTGGACTAGAACTCCAGGAGACCAGGGCCTGGATCCTCACTTGGCCATAAAAACCCACTAGGTGACCCTGGCAAGTCATACTCTGTTAGCCTAAGAGGATGGCAATTGCAAACCTCTGAATATACCCTGCCAAGAAATATGTAAGACAGGGTTGGAGTTTACTTGGAGGGATGTAACAGCAACTCCCAAACCCAAGCCACTAATGCCCACCCATGGCCCCATAGGATGACCATGTTGCCATAATGGTCTGCAATCTCTAACTCATAAAACAAGGGTGTGGGTAAGGATATTTTTTGTGTATTTGGGAGCTTTCTGTATATTTTCAGCCATCACACGTTTTTTCCCCCCACCAAATCATTTTTGAGCAGTTGGAGGGGCCTTAAGAGACTGGTGGGAGGCTTCAGAGGATTTAAAATGGGTGTCTAGGGGCCCTATGAAGCCTATGGGCTTCACTTTCTTCACTCTTGGTGCAATGGTTAGAGCAGACCACCCCATCAGTTGCTCTCCAGATGCTTTAGGACTACATCTCACATCATCTATAGAAGATGAAGTCCAACACATATAGCAGGACCAGACCTTGTGGAGGGCTGGTTTAAAAATGTTTGTTGAATTACGAGGGGAAAGACTTGGATTCAAATCCAGAGTAAGCTGTGAAGCTCTTGTTAAACATTTTGCTCCCTCTTGACCAAATCTAACTCACAGATTTATTGGGAAGATATAATGGGCATGGTGATATTAGAACAAGAAACACACACTGCCACCAGCACATTTGGATTAGGAGGGCAGGGGAAAATATGAATGTAATCTATCAATTAATCAATCATTCAATGAAACAGTCACACCCTGTTCTCCAGGATCCTGGTATTTAGAGGTAAAACTAGAACAGTAATCCCCAAACTGTGCTCTTTAAGGGATTTTGGATTTAAGGGATCTTGGCCAACATGGTTGAGGCTTCTGGGAGCTGAAGTTCAAAATCCCTTAAAGAGCATAGTTTGGGCATCACTGAAGCAGAACATAGAATCTCTCGTGGCTAGCAGCACCATGAACTCTATTCAAGGCAGCAGTAGTAATAGTGTGGCCATCCAGGTGTGATTGGACTAAAATTCAAAGCAGCCCTAGCCAGTGGCAAGATATGCTGGGAGTTGCAGTCCAGTGGGAAATCACAGTTCCCACCCTGGGGTTTAATGCTTTCCTTTTTAAAAAAAGAACGTTGGTCATCACCACACAGCGGGAAAAAGTGCCCTGGGAAAGGCATTTAGAAGATTCTGGTTTTGTGTGAATGAGTTACTCTCTTACACAGCAGGCCTTCTTGGGATGGCTTACTGCCTTTCTCTCCCCTTCTCACCTGAATACTTGTTCCTCAGTGACCGAATCTTGGCTCCAGCAGTCCCTGTGGCCTGTGGAGGGCAGAGAGGGGTGAGAAATTGAGTTGAGGTAGTGTGAAGGTAGGGTAAAGTAAGGAAAAATGGAGCAGGGAAAGTGGGGATGCGTGTAGGCCTTACCCTTGAAAAGGACACACTCTTTCTGGGACTGGCCTTCAGTCCACAGGACTCGGAAATTGTGCTGGGGCCAGTGGTCATTGAGGGCTGAAGCTGGCAAGTCACAAAGCTGAGAGAATCCAAGGTTTAGGGAAACACAACATCACTGGAAGGAGGACTGGGTTCCTGTCCCCCCCCCCCCATAATCTGTCATAACAGAGTTAATAAAAGCATCTTCTCCTTGAAACACCTAGCAAATTTATCACTGCATGAATTTCATTCCTGAGTCTCTTTCACAATACACAATTACAGCAGATTGAGTTTATTTTATAATTGCCCTGGCTGAGTCTTGTGGGAATTCTAGTTTGTTAAGGCACTAATGCTCTCTGGCAGAGAATTTTGAATAACTCACCTATAAGCTCCATATCCACAAGGTGCACTCGCAGCAACTGAAGTGGGATCAAAGTGCTACAATTGTGTAATGTGAAGGAGATACCAGTTTCTCTGATCCTGTTCCCAAAAGTCTCCTTAAATTGTCGTTGGAGGCAAACTGTCAACCAGTGCAAGGTACTGCAAGATGGGGTATGTAGTATCTTTGCTGTTATGTTTTGGTCAGAAAACGGGAATAGAGCTTTTGGGAGCTGCAGTCTAAAAAAAGTAAAATTTCCAGGTTCTGTTTCCAGACCAATTGCAACTTTCAAAGATTCTTCAGAAGAAAGTGTGTTTCAAGGAAGGAGATGACATTCTGGTCCCTTCCAAGTTTCTGATTCTCTGTTTAGATAGACCCTGTTGTTAATAATAATAAAATTTATTTGTATCCTGCCCCTCTGAGGACAATCGAGGCAGCCAACAGTATAAATATAAAATACACAATACAATCAAGTTTGCATCAAGTTTGCATCAGCAAGAAGATGCTTATTGCTGATACTTATTGCTGTTAAGAATTTACTCACTTGCCTGCCATTCCTAACAACCTTGAACTTTCAGAACTCTGTGTCCTCAGTGCTGTTTCATGATTTGCTGGTTCAGCATAAGGTAAGAATTGCTGTGTGTAAGCAGATACCCAGTTCTGGTTCCCTTGCAATTGGTATTCAAAAGTGCACAGCCTCTATCACCATGGGGAGTATTTACCCACCACCGTCACTAGCCACTGATGGCTTTCCTCTCCTGTTTTCCCCCCAAAAAGGTGGATGAAAACTGGGTGGATTGTGGCACCCTTAATGTAACTCTTTTTCTGCCCCATACAGGTTCTGTAAGGATACCCACATAAATCCAGGCCTGTTCCTTCCATCAGGCGTGCGCCAACGGACCACCAGAGGTGACTCATCCCCAAATACGATTAAATCATGAGATGCTGGAGCAATCTTTCAACAAAGAGAGAAAAGGGACACATTTAGGGTGGCTAGATGAGGTTCCAATGCAGCCCTGATTCCTTCCCATCTCTGTGGCACTTACCGCCATGGGGTGGGAGAAAGCAACTGCCAAAGAGGTGTCTTCTCTGTTGACGTAGACACAGCGAATTGTTGGTTCTGGGTCAGCTGACGAAGAAGCAAGAAGGAGAAGGAAAGGCATCCAAAGAGAGGGGAATGAAAAATAGGTTAAAAGCATTGTAAAAAAGTCCTGATTGTCTAGGCCTGCTTGCTCAGAGCTTGGAGGAATGTTGTTGGATGACAACTCCCAGAATCCCTCATCCAGCATGGCCAATCACTGTTATAAAATGACACATATCATTGCCAAAAAAATAAGCTTTATTGGCGGTCCACAGCAGAGACAAGCATCACAGCCCTTTAGCAGATGGGTTACACTACAGCATCCCCTTACATCAAACAGCCACACCGGCTGGGGGATTCTGGGAGCTGTAATCCAGAAAAGCCGCTTTGCCAAGCTGTGCTTCTCACAGTGGTGAAAAAGTTGCCAATATGTTGTACCTCTTTCAAATGGAGTTGTTAATAGATTTACTGGTAAGAGAGGACAGATGTAGAACCAACTTCATAATTTTTGTATTTTTCATGTAATTGTATACTGTTTTAGCAAGTTTAATTTTAATTGTAAATTTTTAAAAATGATTTTATCTATGAGCCACCTAGGGTCCCTTTCTGGGAGAAAGCTGGTATATAAATGAAATAAATAGTAATATAATAAATAAACTTGTAGACTTGAGAGCCAGTGTGATACATGTCCATATTTGGCCATGATGCTGACAAGGATGCTAGGCCCCATCCACCTGGTTTCAAGAGATCACAACTACAATATCGCCACATCAAATGAAGTAACTTGCTCTTTTCCTACCTCTGCCCAGGAGCCAGCGATGATAGAACCAAGCACTCTGGTCATTTGGGTCAGTGAAGAAGGCATTCTGCACCAGTTCCAGTTCTGGAAAGGAGGAGGTATAGTCAAAGAGAAGAAGGGAAGGTGCCAGAATTTGCAATCTTTTGGCAATCATCAAGGAACCATTCACACTATGGGATTAGAACGTTTTGATTCCACTTTAATTGGCATGGTTACAGGCAATGGAATCCTGGGATTGGTAGTTTAGGTCAGCGTAGTATAGTGGTTTGAGCACTACGCTATGACTCTGGAGACCAGGGTTCGAATTCCAGCTTAGCCATGAAAACTCACCGGGTGACTGTGGGTGAGTCACACTCTCTCAGCCTCAGAGGATGGCAATGGCAACCCACCTGAAGAAACATGCCAAGAAAACCCCATGATAGGTTTGCCTTAGGGTCGCCATTACTTGGAAATGACTTGAAGGCACAAAACAAACAAAATTTAGAATTCTTGGCCACAGCACTCTATTGGCTCAACAGACTACAAGCCCCAGGATTCCACAGGATGGAACCATGGCAGTTAAAGTGGAATAGTAGCACTATAACTGTGTAGTGTGAATGGGCTTGTAACTACAGAAGTAACTAAAATCTACTGTTAACAGTGCAGAAGGAGCAATTACAATCATAATGTAATGTTATACCTTTGCTATTGGGAAAAGGAATTTATCAGTAGTAACTAGTTATTTGTAACTAGGTACTTCCAAGCTTTGTCAGTTTCAGACTTGTAGCTGTTGCAGCTGAGGGAGTGGAAGGAGAAAGGAGGATTTGAGGATATAGAATTTAGAGGATTTTTTTAAAAGCAGCATGGTTGTGGCTCTATGTTTATTTTAGGGATTGTGGTTTGTGGTTTAGATACACTGAGAGCTAGGTAAATCTTAGGATTAATTGTCTTTCCAGCAAGGAATGTAAACTGAACTTCAAGACTTTAATAAAATATCTTCTCCATAATTGGGGCATAATAGAAATACTTCTGTTGTGTCTGTACATAATGAAAACTGTCTCCACAGGAAATATGAAATGACTGTCATTTGACATGCAGAGCTGAGTTACAAGCAATGCTTGACATGTTACTTTCAGGAGTGTTTTAATCCATTTTGAAAGGTTCATCTTACCAGCTTTAGAAGCAGAAACTGAGATGGTTACTTTTGGGACTACACTTCCCAGAATCCCCCTGCCAGCATGAGGGATACTGGGAAATGTAATCCAAAAAAGGAACTTCCCAACATCTCAACAGGGTTCCCCACCAATTTATTTTCCCCTCTCCATTACAAACAGGATTTGGAGCAGACTCCATCCATGTGGAGGGCTGACTGTGCTTCAAAACAATGGAAATGTAGAACTGGAAGAGATCACCAAGCCCATATAGTCCAACCCCCCTGCCATGCAGGAATACACAGTCAAAACACTCCTAAGAGATGGTCATCCAGCCTCTGTTTTAAGGAGAAGCACAAAAATTATTATATATTAAGCAGTGAGATTTGTCTTTGATTGCGGTCTTTTGACCATGAACCACAAGCAGATGAACAAATAATGATTCAGGATGGGGAAGAGCATCCTTTTGGCTGGGCTTGGCTATGACTTTCTTTCCTCCCTTTGGATCCTTCCCTTCTTAGCAGCAGGGCACTACCTTCCAAACTGGGCTGGTCCCAGTTTAGGTTCTCACGCCCCACATTCCTGTCTCTTGTGTGGGACAGCAGAGACCAGACTTCTGCTAAGTGGTTCACCGCAAACAAAGAAGCCGGCAGATAGAGATGCAAGGACCGCTCCCCTTAATCCCCTGGAATTTCACCTTGCCCAGGTGAGGGGCTGGGTCCCTGCGGAGGTCTCCCTGTGTACACTTTTACTCACAGTGCAGCTATTTCCTTTTTTGCACCTCTCCTCTCCAGCCTTGTGCGCCAAAGATTGGTGTGACATACCAGCCGCCGTGATTCACAAGCTCAGCTCTCAGACACACCCATACAATGGAGCCGGAAGAGAAAGAGAGATAGACACAGAGTTTTGGTGACGGCTTCCAATTTCTTTTAACTCCACTCTCCTGGAGTTGGGATGATGGACAAGCATCTTGGCTGCCTTGTATTGTTGTTGTTGTTGCTGCCTTCAAATCATTTCCAACTTATGGCAACCCTAAGGGTTTTCTTGGCAAGATTTGTTCAGAGGTTTGCCATTGTCTTCCCCTGAGGCTGAGAGCATGCGACTTGCCCAAGGTCACCCAGTGGGTTTCATGGCTGATCGAACCCTGGTCTCCAGAGTCACTGTCCAACATTCAAACCACTATGCCTCATCCTCATCATAGAAAAGGACTCAGATTTAGCGGTGGGGCAAGTCCTTCCTCTGGATTTAGGCCATCTTGGTTTCAAATTCCTAGCATCCTCGGTAGAAGTGGCCCAAGACATTTTGCTGCCTGAGGCCAGGGACAAAATGGTAGCCCTCATTCCCCATCCAGGGGTGGGCAAAGTTCACCCTCCCCAGGTTGTTTCTGTGGCCTCCAGGAGTCAAGCCCTAGAGGACATGAGGATCTTCTCAGTGACTGCTCCAAACTCTGGAATTCCCTTCCATAGGAGACAAGGCTGCCCCACTCCTTAATCTCCTTTCACTTGCAGCAAAGACCTTTTTATTCAAGCAGGCTTTTAAGGTGTACATACTTGTGGGGAGGCTTCTTATGTGTGTGTGTGTGTGTGTGTGTGTGTGTGTGTGTGTGTGTGCGCATCATTTTTAACTTTTGTATGTTTTAAAATTATTTTATACAGGTTGGGTCTCCCTTATCCGAAATTCCAAAATCCAAAATACTCAAATAGCCAAAACCTTTTTCGGGGGTGGCTGAGATAGTGACACCTTTGCCTTTGGATGGTACACATATTTTGTTTCAGGTACAAAATTATTTAAAACATTTAAATAAAATTACCTTCAGGCTATGCGTATAAGGTGTATATGAAACATAAATGAATTTTGTGAAGTCAAAGGCTTTCATAAATGAATTTTGTGTTTACACTCGAGTCCCATATCCTAGATATCTCAATATGTACATACATGCAAATACAGGTATTCCAAAATCTTAAAGAATCTGAAATTGCAAGCACTTCTGGTCCCAACCATTTTGCATAAGGGAGACTCAACCTGTATTGGTTTTAATCTGTCATTTTAATGTGATGATTTTAATTGTTTTAAATTGTTTTTAGCTGCTTCTTTTTGTGAACTGTCTTGATATATATGTATACATATATTTCATACAAATTAAACAAACAAATAAATAAGGGAGAGAGTGAATTTTTAGCATGTTTTTGGGTGCCCTAGGCCATTTTTACTGGGTATAAAATGATTGCTGGAGGGCTAAAAATGGTGAAAATGCCCCATGCCCTGCAGGAGGAATTTGGAGGCAAAACAAGTCTTTTGTGGGGCAGCTGTATAATGGAAATGAGGCCTTGCAATGTCTGCAGCTAAGTGGCTTGCTACAAACAAAGAAGCCAGCAGACAGAGAAGCAAGGGCCGTTTCCCTTAATCCCCTTGGAATTTCACCTGGCTCAGGTGAGAGACTGAGTCCTTGTGGAGGTATTGCTGTGTACACTTTTACTCACAGTGCAGCTATTTCCTTTTTTGTACCCCTCCTCTCCACCTTTCTGTGCCTATTTCCTTTTTGGGGGGAGCTAATGTGGCTTCTTAGCCTCTGTCAAGAAAGGAGATGTCAGGGATTATAGTTATTTTTAACACTTCTCTCCACATAAATGGGGATATAACTCTGCTCTTGGTTTACTTATGAACTTTAAAGGAGCCATCCTTAAAACACGGAGCAAAACCAGAGGTGACTCCTCAGCCCCGCCTGTCAACATGGGAACCACCAACCAAGATGACAATCTTCTTTAAAGACAGTTAAAATCTGGAGTGGATGCATTGGTCCACTGAGATGGACTCCATCAGCCACAATGGCATTTTAATTTACTGAAGGTAATTCAGGCTGTTCAACTAACCTGGGATCTCCTATCAGACTACAACACCCTCCCCTTCCAAATTTAGGAGAATCATAGAATCACAGAATCATAGAGTTGGAAGAGACCACAAGGGCCATCCAGTCCAACCCCCATGCCATGCAGGAAGTCTCAATCAAAGCATCCCTGACAGATGGCCATCCAGCCTCTGTTTAAAGACCTCCAAAGAAGGAGACTCCACCATACTCTGATGGAGTGTGTTCCACTGTCAAACAGCTCTTACTGTCAGGAAGTGCCTCCTAATGCTGAGGTGGAATCTCTTTTCCTGTAGCTTGCATCCGTTGTGCCGAGTCCTATTCTCTAGAGCAACAGAAAACAAGCTAGCTCCCTCCTCAATAGGACAACCCTTCAAATATTTAAACAGGGCTATCATATCCCCTCTTAGCCGTCTCTTCTCCAGGCTAAACATACCCAGTTCCCTAAATTGTTCCTCATAGGGCTTCATGGTTTACAGACCCTTCACCATTTTGGTTGCCCTCCTCTGGACACGCTCCAGTTTTTCAACATCCTTTTTGAATTGAGATGCCCAGAACTGGACACAGTATTCCAGATGGGGCCTGACCAAAGCAGAATACAGTGGCACTATTAATTCCCTTGATCTAGATCTATTAATGCAGCCTAAAATTGCATTGGCCTTTTTGGCTGCCGCATCACACTTTTGACTCTGTTGGCTTAGGGGTGCTGGGAATTGTCATTCCCAAAACCTCAACTTGCTGAAGCTCTGTATCTGCTCCTCTTGTCTGTCCTCAGACTACACACCTTTCAGTAAGATTTCCTCCGTGATCCGGCCTTGCTGCTGGGGGTCAGGGTAAAGTTGCGGAAGGAGGCGGCTGCGGTAATGCCAGGAGGAGTAGTTGGAGAAATTCCGGGTGATGAGACTGTCACTGAAGGCTAGTTCGTCCTGGGGAGGCACTTGTGAACGCTGCACCACGAAGCGGCGGTAGTCCCAACAGTGAACTGCAGGGGGCAGCAGAGAGAAAAACGAAAGTGGAGGTCAAAGGTCAAACATGCCTATCTGCCACCACCATCCAGCCCAAGTACTTTTCAGCTTGGCCAATCAGGTCCCAAGAACTCTGCTCACTTTTGGGTCAACCAGTTAACACTTGTTAACTATTACTACCATACATAACTTTAATTTGACACCGTAAGGATGTTCCGGATTGCTCTGCTAGAGAAACATGGGTTACATCCACACTGGAGAAATAACCCAATCTGGCACAGCTTTAACTGCCATGGCTCAAGGCTATGGAATTCTGGGAACTGGAGTTTGTTGTGGGGCCCAGAGCCGAGCTTAGGTTCCT